AGCGGTGTGGGCACTTTGTTCACAGGAGTGACAGTTTCCCTGTTCTCAGTTCCTGTGCTTGGCGCCATAGCATCTCACAGCAGCCAGGAGCAGCAATTGCAGGAATAGCCTTGATCAACCAGAGCAGCCCTAAATTTGAGCATGATCAGTGCAAAGAACCGGTGAAGAATTTATCTGTCAAACAAGTATCTACTGCGAATGTGCAGGCTGAGATTTTTCAAAAGCTTATAACTTGACCAAGTTTAGACAGTTTTTCACATGAATAGGAAAAGGCGAATCCCTAACACTATGATCCCCTGACAAATTTTAGTTCCCTGCTCCAAAGCATGGTGGTGCTAGAGCTCACTATAACAGTTGTGAGACTTTTTTTTTTTTTTAAGATGAGCAATACAATGTGTTTTTCCCTAATCTCACTTTCAGAAATGGCAGAACAGCTTTTGCTGAAATTTAATAAATAAATAAATAAAATGAGCCTTAGGCAAACACATGACATGGAAAATTTCAGTTTGACAAAGTCATAAGCAACTGTAAATGGGGTCTAAAAGGAGGGAAATGTTGGATAAACAGCATTACCAGCACCATCTAAATCATATGCATTAGTGGTGGTAACTGGTTGTATACTTTCTAAGAAGTTTCTTTTAAAAAAATATTTACAAAATTGTATTACTGATACTCAGCTTATATGAGAAGACCAGTGAAATTGTAGGCCTTGATCCTGCAAACATTTAGTCACATGTTTTAATTTCAAGAGCAATCCCACTGGAAATCATGGAGTGGGACTACTTGCATGCTTAAAGCTAAGCATGGTGTGTGTTTGCTCCCCAGAGCCCCAATCTTACATTCACTATTTATCTGATTGCATAAATCAGTTGGTTATTGCTAGCCATGGGCAACTATAAAAATGTAGGCTAATTGCTCCAACTGTCTGAGATTAATACTTAATTATTAAAATTAAGGCTTTGCTTATAGTGATGTCATTTTAACATATCAAAATCATCATCTTGGCAAGGCATCTGTAGATATATCAGAATTGGGTTACACCCACCTCTTGGCTGCAGAATGCAGGGCTCCAGTTTTTAGAATTTAATTACATTATATAGATGATGTAGCTAGTTTCCCAGCTGGTGCATCATCTGTTTGACACAACTGTGAGTATAATAAATTTGTTGATACTTATAGACTGCAGAATAAGTTTCCAAAATTCATAGCTCTTGAACTACAAAACACTGTTTCCTCTCCAGACAGAGAAAACATTTCATAACTACAACAAAAGTCTGAAAACTTGGCTATGATGAAATTTATTACAGTTTTATAATTACCCAGAATTAAACTTTCCTCCCAACATCAGGAAGTCTTCAACTGTGAATTGTGCACCAACTTATTTAAAGTAAGCAATATAATGCAAGATCAATGGATATATTGAATTTTATGTACTATTTAAAATTTGTTTGCTGGTCTTGAAAACAATTTTGCTTTATTATAGCAAAGTGGAGTTTTCTTTAGTGTAAGATGCAAATAAAATTGAAATTCCATGTGCAGTTTGCATTCTTCATAGACTTGAAATGTTCACTTTAGTATCTGTAAGAATTTCAGTAAAATTAATTCATATCTGTATTCAATTTTGCATTATTATATAATGTAGTTGTTTTTTAGTTCCCCGGTTGGAAATTAACACAAATTTACAAAAGCAAGGAAATCCAAAGTTACAATTACCATTCTATCCTGTAGTCTGACCGCAGTGGCTAGATATTGCAACTCATTATGAATGTACAGTAGGCTTACTGTGGCCTCTGATAAAGAACCAGAAGAACTGTAATATCTGAAACAATGGGGTGATTTAAAGATGGAATGCTCACCCCATTTTCTTGGCCTGTGATCTTTTAAAATCATAGTCTGTGTACTACCGGCAAGGCATTTACCTAATATAATGTTGTAAAATTACAGGAACAAAACACACTCAAAAATACTGATAGCTTTCATGATGCCTGCTGTACATAATTTAATTGTATGCAAAATATATATATGCTTAATTTAAAATATTTGAGTATGAAATTAAAACTATATAGGGCATATCAATGCTCTAAAGTTATTAAAACATAACCTATTGCTGCTGCTTTCTAGATTTTCAATGTGTTTTGAAATGCTAGATTTGTCTGTATAGCCCCATTGATCAAAGACACTGGTTTGTTCTAAAGAATATTTTAAAATTAAAATATGCATCAGGATTGATGATTTGTCACAATTCAGCCAGTGCTGTTTGAAACAACGCTAGCATTGTTTGATGGTAATGCTGACAGGCCCTTAACTATAAATGTGCTGCCAAGCAGTGCAATGATAGCTCAGAACGATAAATATTTAAGATCTTTTTCAGCTGCCTTAATTTATTCTGTTCACTGTCAATATTTATAGTTTGCTGTGTTGTTTGTGACATGGCTGTTGCTGACCTAATTGTTAATGTCTGTATTCTAAAAATCAAAATTGTTACTTTTCTTATTGGTGTTAAAATCTAGATATGCCAAATAAGGTATTTGGATTGAAACTTCTTTTTTAAATAAAACTTCATTGGGTACCAGTTTGAGCTGGATATTCAAATTAGAGCAACAAAACAAACCCCCAAATTTTATAGCAGTAAGCAGATGGAAGATTAAAAGGAGCAGAGTAAAAGCAGTAAGAAATACATTGAACTAGATAGTTTATGATTATGAATGCAGTACATTTGCAGTCGGAACAAAACAAAAATGTAAGATTTAAAAGCTGGAAAGTAAAATCAGGTTAACTTAGTTCTCTCTCAGAAAAATAAACTGTTATTTTAGTGAACCGCTAACCAAAACATAATACATGTGATTTCTGCAGGGTTTTTTTTATGAAATTTTCTTCTCTGTAGATGTTTGATATGTTTTGTCACACTGAAACAATTTTATTCGTATTTTCTGTTCTGTGGGGTAAATTTACCCATACTATTTGCATTCACTGGGAGAACATTAATTGGAAACATTCTTGTTTTAAAAATATCTGATATGGTAGAACCTATGGAAAGCTAATTCTATATTCTGTGACCTGCATCTCTGAATACAAGAATACCTTGGTATAGACACTCACTGTATTAAAACATCTTTAGTTTATTTGCTAAAGAAACCTACAGCAATGGAAGCTATGTATAAATTTTAGCCAATTCCTAATAAGTTCGATTTGACTTGTATAAAAACTACCAATCCAGATGTAGAGCTCACAGACTAGTTTTTTCAGTTTTTAGCATCAGCCATGATTACCCTTCAACGCATTTATGCTCTGTTGTTGGGCTGTCAGATACAGCTTTGACCTTGCTTCATTCCTATTAACATCAGAGATTACCATGCCTCAATTCAGATCAAAGTCTCTCTCTACTTCGTAAAAAGAACAGGAGTACTTGTGGCACCTTAGAGACTAACAAATTTATTTCAGCATAAGCTTTCGTGGGCTGGCTACAAAGCTTATGCTGAAATAAATTTGTTAGTCTCTAAGGTGCCACAAGTACTCCCTCTTCTTTTTGCAGATACAGACTAACACGGCTGCTACTTTGAAACCTGTCTCTACTTCGTGTTGTAGTTTGCCTCCTGGATCATTGCTGGGACCGTATTATTATTCTACATTTACATGTTACTCTTTGTCTTTACATTCTACACTGCATTTTTGTTGTTAAGCCGATGATGCCATGATCTGCTGCAAACTCCATCCATTTGTCAGGTTGAGTTTGCCACTTTGAAATGTGATACAGATATCAATTTCACATAATTTTATGAAATCTAGAACCAAACCAAAAATGCCAGTTGTTTGATTGTTGAGTTGGGGCTCTCAGGTTGGCAACTCCTATTGAGACCCTCTCCTAATGAAAGGAATGTTGGTGCTGTATTGACATAGATCTTTGTCAGTGGATTTATTCTCCGGTTTCACAACTAGAATATTTCTGGAATATTGTCTGGCTGCTACATTATTATTTTTTTTTAACAAGAGACTTGGAATGCTTGATAAATACTTCAATTTTTCCAAGACTCGACTACTGAAGGCTTTTTTGTGGGTGCTCCTAATTAAATCTTTGTCTATTATCCAGTAGCTGCTCACATTGGTGCCCTCCTCCCCATTAAATTGTGTATTAACTTTCAAACTCTCAAGGTATTTAATGGCTGTATTTTTCTTCATCTGAAGAAACTTTTAATGCCCTATATCCTAGACTGTCCATTGATGAATCAAGTGACTATATAAATATTTTAGTAACCATGCTTCAGGACTATTAAAGCTTTTAATATTTGTTGTTTGATTTGGTTTTTAATAATTATCTTTTTATAAAGTGTCTTGAGGATTCATTATAAATTAAACTTGTATTTGAAAGATGTGTTCTAGTAATGGCTGCTTTTAAATTTCTCAAATGAAGAGCAAATAACTAATACATTTTTGTTGGGACTGTTTAATTTCAGATTACTGGGAAAGGGCACAGTTAAATATTCCTACAGTTTCTTTCCATTTTTAATTCTCTTTATAATTTGTTTTTTGGGGAAATGAAACTGTACTGTTTGATATTCAGACAGATGGATTCATAAAAACTACTTACATTCTCTTTCAGAGGAGAAATGAATGTATCTAATCTTGTCTTTTGTTGATGGTGCAAATGTGACATTAATGTATTAATTTCCTTTGTAATAAGCAGTTAGATGTTAAAAGCTTTCTGAAAACGTGACTCAGGCATTGCTTATTTAACTAGCTACTGATTTATTTTGAATAGGCCTTCCTATTCAATTGAATGTGTCTAGTTACATGAACCAAAGCCCTCAGATTTTATGTAAATCCAGTAGTCTGTGTCACTTCCCATGACATCTGGATTCAATCCATTGGGAAATATACATGCTCTTGAGAACTGCTTTTTTCAGAATTCTTATATATGCTGCTCACAGCACTTGCTGAGTAGGAGCTATAGCTAAAAATAACTAAATGGATTTCTCTCTCCCTCTCTGTCTGTCTTGCTGTAGGATGACGTAGCTTTGCCAAGGACTTAGCAGCTAAGCAGAAAATGAGCTTAACATCCTGGTTTTTGGTGAGCAGTGGAGGCACCCGCCACAGGCTGCCACGAGAGATGATTTTTGTTGGAAGAGATGACTGTGAGCTGATGTTGCAGGTAATTGCATCAGCCTTCCACGTGTAACTGTTCAAAATTTGGATTTAATACACTAGATTTATATTCCTTTTGAGAATTAAGTTTGCCAACTGGTCAGTTTTTTGGACTCTCCATTTCTAGATCTTGCCAGCAGTTTTAATTGATCTAATATTTTGCATTCCTCATGTAGGAAAATGGTTAATATGAATGTGCTGCTATTTGTTGTAGTTTCTGAATAGTGATTGTGAAGGCTGCGATTTAGTCACGGAGGTAACAGAAGTCACAAAATGCATGACTTCCAAAGACCTCCATGATTTCAGCCAGCGCTGCAGGCGGCAGTGGGGACCCCCGCCACCCCAGGGACTCCTGCCGCTGCTTTTGGGGTGTTGCAACTGTTACCTGAATAGCTTCTTCTCTTAGTCCCTGAGCTTCCAAACATGCATGTGCTTAATTTTATTACCATGAATAGTCTTCTTAGCTGCAGAGGGATTACTCATGGTAGTAAAGTTTAAGCATATATGTGTTTTCAGAATCTGGGCCTGAAACACTTTGTAAGTATCTTACTTGATCTTCCTGACAGTATTTAAAAGGGGGGTTAGTAAGAAAAAATTTTAAATATAAAGCAGAGATATTACTTTTTATTTATCATGACTACTCTCTTAAACTCTCTACTGCATTTTGTCCAAAAACAATAAAAGGCAAGGCTAGCTATTACAACAGGGATGTACTTGGTTTAGACTGAATGCATTTGAAATTTGTATTTATTCAATAAAACAATAGTTTTTAATGCAGCCATTAATGGCCATATCAAAATCTCCAGTGCAAAAAGCACTTTTGAAAATCTATCTTGTATGTGTAGTCATTATGAACAATACTACCAGTAGGTTACGTTCTGGCTTTTTCATACCTCATAAAGAACCCATTGTGTACACTAATGGCAGATATATGTGCCCTACTTTATCTTGTATAAAAGGCTGTTGTAAGAAGAGAGATTTTTTTTTGAGAGGGGGAGGGGATGTTAGAACATTTTAAAGGGTAGGGCCCTGGGTGATTTACGAGATACGTAACAGGACAAAATTCTTGCCCAGAAGAATTTACAATCTAATGTGTTTACAGTAGAATAAATTAGTAAGGAGATATAGGCTGAAGCATGCAGTGTCTTCAGTGTGCTGATAATTGACTGCTTTGCTATTTAATTTTATACAGCTGATAGAGTAGTATATGAATGACCCAGTGTCTGAATGAAATTGGGGGTTGAATGAGGCTGATGGTCAACCAAGATAAAAGTGAAGAAATGCTAGTCAACTTGGAGAAGCAACTGGAAATATTGTCAGAGATTATTACAGAATCTTGGATTAAGAAAGTGTGTCTACCATTTGTAACACAGGTTTGCTGTTTAATGGTGATCCTGTTCAGTGTTTTTTAGCTACACTTAGATGCTCAGGTCACAGTTTATTGACTGAGTTTAGAACATGGCTGAATGAGAGACCACCTCCTTCCCAGTACATCACTACCACATTTATGCTCAGCCAGAGGTGCTTTCACAGATTTTTCTGGTTTAGCTAGGAGGAACTGCTGAAAGGGTGCTCTCCATGAGTGTCCACCATAGGAAGGGGTCTTTCACTAACACTTGGGAGAAAGATGGTATGAGTAAGGCTACGTTTTAGTCACGGGTATTTTTAGTAAAAGTCAGACAGGTCACGGGCAGTAAACAAAAATTCGCAGCTCGTGACCTGTCCATAACTTTTACTAAAAATACCCGTGACTAAAACTTGGGGCGGCACTGCCCGGGCGTGTCACGGGTGCTGGTGGAGGGCAACCCGAGTGCTGTGTGGGGGGAGAGATAGGCGGCAGCACGCGGCCCGGGACCCCTGCTGGTGCTGGGGAGGAGGAGGGTTCGCCGGCAGGCTCCCTACCTGACTCCGCGCCTCCCCCCAAGCAGCAGCAGAGTTCGGGTGTGAGAGGGCATGGGATTGGGGCACAGGACAGGGTGAGGTGTGCTCTGGGCAGACATCCCCCCTCGCTCAGCTGCTAGGCAGAGGTGTGGGCAGGCAGCTCTGCACACTGCCTCCTCCCAGAGCGCTGGCTTCGGAGCTCCCATTGGTCAGGAACCACGGCCAGTGGGAACTGCGGGAGTGCTGCCTGCAGGCAGAGGCAGTGCGCAGAGCTGCCTGGACACACCTCTGCCTAGCAGCTGAGCAAGGGGGATGTCGCCACTTCTGGGAGAGACCCCAGGTAAGTGCTGCCCAGTGCGTGCCCCAACCCCCTGCTCCCCTCAGACACCCAAATTCTGCTGGGGGGAGGGGTGCGGTAGCCCAAGACTGCTCCAGCAGCGGCTGGTATGACTGGTGCAGGGGCTGCCTGAGCTGCCCCTGAGCCAGGCGCACTGGCTGCTGCAGAAGTCACGGAAAGTCATGGAATCCATGACTTCCGTGACCTCCATGACAAACTCGCAGCCTTAGATATGAGCGCTTGCGTGCGCGCGCGCGCTCTCTCTCTCTAATATCACCTTTCTCCCAAATGTTAGATCGCTGAAATAATGATCATTGAAGTATGATGATGATTATTATATTGGACCATTACTGAGTTGCATTATGAATTGTGTAGTACACCTCTGCCCCAATATAATGCTGTCCTCGGGAGCCAAAAAATCTTACCGCTTTATAGGTGAAACCGCGTTATATCGAATTTGCTTTGATCCGCTGGAGCGTGCGGCCCCGCCCCCACGGAGCACTGCTTTACCGCGTTATATCCGAATTCGTGTTCTATCGGGTCGCGTTATATTGGGGTAGTGGTGTATTTAAGCTTTCTGTCATTAATGTTCCAAAAATACTTGTTTAGTCATTCTTAATTTATACGGTGAGATAATATAGTTGTTCTTATTCTTATTTTATGAGTGAATTGATACCAGTGAAAATTCAAAACAAGATTGCTACATGAGATTGGTTTAATTTTAAATATAATTAGAGATTTATGGAATTATCTATATCTGAAAATCCATACAAAAAACATTTTCATTCCAGAATGTTGTAGTGGAGGGTTAATACAAAGCTCACTGCAGTGGAAACATTTGTAGCCCTATACCTATTTTAAAAGAACATTAACAGTTAAGACATTGAAACAGTTCCTCTCCGTCAAATGATTTTTCGTCACTAACAATTTCCCCTTCCAACTTACGTTGTCCAGGCACTTGAAAAATTTCTATGGTAAATGTTATTCCTGCATGTATTGTAATATTTCTGCCCACACATCAGTTTTTCTTTAGTCTCCTGAAAATTTTATTTAAGCAAGGGAGAACTTTCAGGTGTTTCATATCAGTGTTTTGCTGAAAAAAGTGGGCTAACTAAATACTGAAAGGTTTTTAGAAGTATCACTGGCCTTCAAATAATTGTCTGTCTGCTATACACACCTGATGGTAATTGGTTTGTTTTATCTCTTGTCATGGGCAGTGTTCCATGTTTGTTCTTTGTCATACATCTTACCAACAAAGAAAAATATGGAGTTGCAGCTTGCTCGAATGAGACCAGTGTTTAATTTCTAGTAACTTTGTACTAAAATCCATCTGTTTGTACTTTTTCATTTTGTTTTTTATCACTGTGAATAATAGTGAGTAAACCAAGTTACACTAACTCTATATTTTATTTTAATTGCACAGTAGAAGGTCACTTAATTTATAAATTTCAAAGTTTTGTTTAGGACTAAACATGAGGAGAGAATGTTTAATGTAATTTCTAAAACATGAATAGGAGAGGTGGAGCTCACTCCTGCAAGGTGCTGAGTTCTCCAGTACTTTTCAGCATGAGAACCATATAAAGTAACCTTATGGTCACTGATTATTTTCAGTCTGTCTTCTAGAGCTGACTTGCCTTGTTATGTATACCTTCTATTGTTGCTAGGTATCTTTGTCCATCTCTATGGACAGCACATGTAACGCAACAGTTGCTATAACTACTAACCATTCAAAGTTCATTTTGATAGTCTGCTTATAAATTACCTTGATGACAGCATTAAACTTAGGTCAGCCTGAGGTTTCATTCCAAGGAAACTTTTTTAGCCAAGATTATATTAAGGTACATATATTTTTATATTTTGCTAGTTGAACTCTGTAGCATATACCAGTAATTAGACATCTTAGCTTTATTGTCTGAAGTAGCTGTGCAATCCTCTGAATAGATTGTGTTTCTTTGGTTTCAGTCAGAGCCACTGGTTCATAGAGTTGATTCTAAGAAAATTCCATTATGCCTTCAAGTACAAAAGAGCAGTACTGTTATCTGTTGTCTACTCCTTACCTCTCTTCCCCTGTCCCTCCATTTCATTAATGTATTGGAGGGTGGTGGTTGTTTTTTTTGTTTGTTTGTTTCATAAGATTTTTAAGTTAGTAGGATTTGCACAGCTCTCTATATTTTACAAATTAAAGATGTAAAATGCCTACCTTAAATCTCAAGTTTGATTGTCAATCAGCAGCCTATATTTGATCAGAGAATTGTAAATATTTTATTAACTTTTTTGTTCTGAAGAGGAGAAGTAGTCGTAGTGATTGTCTGGAAAACATTGATTTATTTCTTTTACTTGTTTTAGGAGACTAGAAATATAAACAATAAATGCTGCATACCTATTTTAGGGTTGCTTCATCTTTGCAGTGACATTTTATAGGCTAAAATAGTGTGTTCAATACAACTATGATTTAAAAAAAATTTGCACAAATCTTTGCACAGAGCATGTTAGTTAAAATTCTGCAAAGAGTATGGTTGTTTGTTCAATCAATATTCAGTACAGAACAGTTTAATTCCTTTTTACTTAAAAATACCAGTCTGTTAACTGTAGTTGCTTCCAGACTATAACTAGGGAAATTATTGATGGTTTATGGAGCCTTTTGTTGAGAGGTTGCTGGTTGAAATCCAGTCTATGTGGGTAGTAATAAAGTCATTATCTGACTACTTAGAAGACTTTGTGAAGTGTCTGGATGGAGCCATTCCCTTTCCTCGTGAAAAAACTTCAAATATAACACAAGCCACTACCCT